AACATCTTCATGAAAATGATAGAGGGCCTCAAAGAGGATATGAAAAAATCTCTTAAAGAAATGGAAGAAAAAAAAAAACAAAAAATACTAGAAATCAACAAATCTCTTAAGGAAAGCCAAGAAAATACAATCAAACAGCTGAAGGAAACAATTCAGACAGTTCAAGACCTGAAAACTGAAATAGAGACAATAAAGAAAACACAAACTGAGGGAATGCTGGAAATAGAAAAGCTGAGTAAATGATCAGGAACTACAGATGCAAGCATATCCAACAGAAAAAAAGAGATGAAAGAGAGAATCTCAGGAGTTGAAGATACACTAGGAGAAATAGACTTGTCAACCAAAGAAAATCTTAAATCCAGAAAATCCCTAACACAAAATATGTGGGAAATATGGGATACTGTGAAAAGACCAGAGCTAAGAATAATAGTATAGAAGGTGAAGAAACCAACTCAAAGGTGCAGAAAACATATTCAACAAAATCATAGAAGAAAACTTTCCCAACCTAAAGAAAGACATGCCAATGAAAGTACAAGAAGCCTACAGAACAGCAAAAAGAGTGGACCACAAAAAAAGGTCTCCTCTCCATATAATAGTCAACACCCAAAACATACAAAATAAAGAAAGAATATTAAGAGCAGCAAAGGAAAAAGGTCAAGTAACATATAAAGGCAAACCAATCAGAATTACACCTGACTTTTCCATGGAAACTCTGAAAGCCAGAAGGTCCTGGATAGATATTCTACCTACAAAAGAGACCACAGATGCCAGTCCAGACTACTATTCCCAGCAAAGCTTTCAATCACTATAGATGGAGAAAACAAGACAAAACCAGATTTAAACAATACATATTCACCAATCCAGCCCTTTTGAAAGTGTTAGAAGGAAAACTCCAATCCAAGGAAATTAACTACAACCAGAAAAACATAGGCAATAGGTTAATCCCACTTTACCAACAGCCAAAAGAAAAAATGGGGTGGAAATCCACACACAATTCCACCACCACCACCAAATCCAAAACAAACAAGAATGAACAATCAATAGTCATTAATATTCCTCAATATTAGTGGTTTTAACTTGCCTATAAAAAGACACAGGCTAGTGGAATGGATAAGAAGACAGAATCCATCCTTCTGCTGCATACAAGAAACACACCTCAGGGCTGGAGAGATGGCTCCAAGGTTAAGAGCACCGTCTGCTCTTTCAGAGGTCCTGAGTTCAATTCCCAGCAACCACAGCTCACAACCATCCTTTATGAGATCTGGTGCCCTCTTCTGGTGTGCAGTTATACATACATAATAAATAAATAAAATCTTAAAAAAAAAAAGAAACACACCTCAACTTCAAAGACAGATGGTACCTCAGAGTAAAGGGTTGGGAAAAGATTTTCCAATCAAATGGACCCAAGAAATAAGCTGGGTTAGCAATCTTAATATCTAACAAAATAGACTTTAAACTGAAATCAATCAAA